GCTTGGCTCTTGCTAGCATCTCCTGTGGTTGGCCTCTGTCCAGGGCTCCCATCATTGCTGTCACCCGGAATGACCAGACGGCGCGCCAGGCCCACCTGTACCGCGGCATCTTCCCCGTGCTCTGCAAAGAACCAGCCCACGATGCCTGGGCAGAGGATGTGGATCTTCGTGTCACCCTGGGCATGAATGTTGGTGAGTGGTGGTCTGGTGGGAGGTGAGGTTCCCGAGTGCCTCACACGGTGCTTTTGGGGTTACCCGTGGGGACAAAGAGAGGGGAACTGGGTGGTAATGGGCTCCGATTGGGAAATGGGGAAGGGCAGTTGCACAAGCACAACTGCATTGGATTGGGAAATGGGGCAGCAGGTTTATCACAGTAGCTTTAAAAGAGGTTCCAGCAGGTAGCAGAGGTTGGTTTTAAGATGGTGTTGGAACTGTAATGGTCATCACTCCTGAAGGACAAGAGCAGCCTGGAGTGGGGTGGCTCCTTTCCCTGGCCCCTCCAAACCTGCTCATGGATCTCAACCTCAGTGTCACTGAGGAGCACAAAGCAGAGGAGAAGGGTCTGAGATGGAACAGGGTCTTGATACCAACCTAGAGCTGTGGGTGCCAAGGACCAGCTCTCCCCGCAGCTCGTGTGGTGAGGAACGGGTGCCAAGTGGTAGGACCTGATCTCTGACACCTCCCTCTCTCCTCTCCTAGGCAAAGCCCGTGGCTTCTTCAAGAGCGGCGACCTGGTGATCGTCCTGACGGGCTGGCGCCCGGGCTCCGGCTACACCAACACCATGCGCGTGGTGCCCGTGCCCTGAGCACCCCGGCACCCCCAGCACCCCCTCCCCACCGCTCCCCTCGCGTTAGAACAGCCACTCCCTGCCCTCTCCCCCTCCCCAGTGTGGATGTAGGTTGCACAGCCCTGCCCAGCGCAGCCGCGGGGACGGAGCTTCGGTCACTTAAAAAGGAAAAAAAGGAGAAAAAAAAAAAAAAAAAGTTCTATATACTTGAAGTGTTTAGTTTTTTTAAAGACCTTTCCCTGGTGTGTGTCAGTCAGCGTAGGTGTCACCAGGACTCCTGGGAGCCTGGTGGCTGTCCTGAGTGTGACATGTCCTGAGTGTGACATGTCCTGAGTGTGACATGTCCTGAGTGTGACATGTCCTTTG